CCCCACGGACGCCCGACGCCCACACCCCGACGCCCCAAGCCCACGAACGCCCAAGCCCACGGACGCCAAGCCCCACGGAACGCCCCCCACGGACGCCCAAGCCCCACGGACGCCCAAGCCCCACGAACGCCCAAGCCCCACGAACGCCCAAGCCCCCACGGACGCCCAAGCCCAACGAACCCCAAGCCACGGACGCCCAAGCCCCACGGACGCCCAAGCCCAACGCCCAAGCCCACGACGCCCCAAACCCCAAACGGACGCCCACACCCCACGGACGCCCAAACCCCACGGCCCACACCCCACGGACGCCCAAGAACGCCCAAGCCCCACGGACGCCCAAGCCCCACGGACGCCCAAGCCCGAGCGGTGGCACTCCTAAGAGGGGTGAGGAGACGCAAGCCATCTGCGGGTGCACACAGCGCCGTTGAAAGCACTGGCGGGTTGACACTGGCCAGCTCCTCGCGTCTCCCAGCTCTTAAGGCCTTCCGAGCGGATTCGGGGAACTTTTTGTATACTTTTCCATCTTTTCTTCTTCCTCTCTTTCTTTTCTTACATTCTTTTTCGTGCTCCTAATCTTTCCTTCTTCCTCTTCCTCTCCTCCTTTTCCTCCTTGGTAACATCCCTCTACCTGCGTCTCTCTCCCCAGTGGATTCTGCCTCGTTTTATGTCGGTGTGAATCATCTGGTGGCTGGCTGTGTAAGGATTGTTTTTTTTTCTTTGTTTGTTTGTATGTTTGTTTGTCGCGTGATCCTGTTGTTTTTCTTCTTTGTTTGTATGTTTGTTTGTTTGTCGCGTGATCCTGTGGTAGGCTGTGTCATTGTTGTTTTTCTTCTTTGTTGTATGTTGTTTGTTTGTCGCGTGATCCTGTTGTTTGTTTGTGTATGTTTGTTTGTTTGGCTGATCCTGTGGTAGGCTGTGTAAGGATTCTGTTTTTTTTTTCTTTCTTTCTTTCTTTTTAACGTGATTTTTCTTTATCTTTTTCTTTCTTTTCTTTCTTTTTCGTGTGATCCGGTTGTAAGCTGTGTGTGGATTTCGTTTTTTTCGGTTAAATATTATTATATAGATTATATTGATTATAAGAGAGAGAGAGACAGAGAGACAGAGAAAGAGAAAGAGAGAGACAGAGGAAGAGAAAGAGAGGGAGACTGACATCTGAAAGCAGGAGGAGTTGCTTAGCTGGATAGAAAACCGTGTGGCAAGGCGTTTTCTAGCTATGTAGGAGAGAGCAAGAGGAGAACATCCCCCAACATGGAGGAGACGAGGACAAGGAATTAGTCCCAGAGGCATTAGTCATGTTGTTTCTCTCTCGCCGCAGCCTAACATATGTGCAAACTTTAGCTCGGGGTCCGCTGTCAGTCAGTCCCCGTTCCCCCTCATGGTTACCCCCCCTTCTCCTTCTCCTCATTGCCCCCCCCCTCTTCATCCTCCCTCCTCCTCCTCCATGCCCCCTTATCCCATCATCCCTCATGCCTCCTTCCTCCTCCTCATACCCCCTCTTCCTCCTCCTCATACCCCCCTCATACCCCCCTTTTTCCTCCTCCTCATACCCCCCTCTCCTCCTCTTCATACCCCCCCTCCCATACCCTCTCTCCTCCCCCCTCCTCCTCCTCCTCATACCCCCCCTCTTCCCTCATACTCCTCCCTCATACCCCCTCCTTCTCCTCATACCCCCTCCCCTCCTCCCTCCCTTCTTCTTATACCCCCTCCTCTTCCTTATATCCCCCCCCCCCCTGACGATGGTAGCCCGCCTGGTTGTCCGAACACACACACACACACAAATACACTCACACGCACACAAAGACTGTACTTACTGAGCCCAACACAGGCCATTCCACCCCCTCCACCCCCCTCCCCCCTCCTCCCTTCTGCAGCAGACAGAGCTCGCACAGCCATAGCTCTTCTGTCAGCGAAAGGGCTTGGGCTGACTGTACCTGTCAGCTCTTTGCGGGGGTCTTGTGCGGGTGTGCGCATGTACCGCTGTTATTTCTGATTTCGCGGTACATCGTGTTGTATTTCCTCGTGTGAGATTCTGTGTACCGTGCTGTACTCTCCATGGCCGGGTTCAATCGCTGTACCTCGTGCTTGTATCCTCTCCATGGCCGGGTTCATGCTGTACCCGTGGCTGTACCTTCTCCCTGGCCGGGTTCATGCTGTACCGTGCTGTACCTCTCCATGGCCGGGTTCAATGCTGCAACCGTGCTGTATCTCTCCATGGCTGAGATTCTGCTGTACCGTGCTGTACCTCTCCATGGCTGAGATTCTGCTGTACCGTGCTGTATCCTTCTCCGTGTGCTGAGATTCTGCTGTACCGTGCTGTCCTCTATATGCTGAGATTCTTGCTGTAATCTCCGTGATGTACTCTCCGTGGCCGGGTTCATGCTGCACCGTGCTGTACCTCTCCATGGTGCTCGGATTCTTGCTCGCTATCCGTGCTGCTCCGTTCCATCGGCTGAGATTCTCTCGCTGTACGTGCTGTACCTGCTCCATGGCTGAGATTTCTGCTGTACCCGTGCTGTACCTCTCGTTGCTGAGATTCTGCTGTAACCGTGCGCTGTAAACCTCATCCATGGCTGAGATTCTGCTGTACCGTGCTGGTACCTCTACATGGCTGAGATTATCGCCTGTACCGTGCTGTACCTCTTCCGTGGCTGAGCATTTTGCTGCATCCCGTGCTGTACTCTCATGGCTGAGATTCTGCTGTACCGTGCTGTACCTCTCCATGGCTGAGATTCTGCTGTACCGTGCTGTACCTCTCCATGGCTGAGTATTACTGCTGTATCTCGCCTGGTGCTTGTACCCTCTCTCCTCGGCTGAGTTTCTGCTCGCATCCTTCTCGCCGTGCTGTACCTCTTCCACATGGCTGAGATTCTGGTTGTAGTCCTGTGTTGCCTCTGTACCTCTCTCCTATGGCTGAGATTCTTGCTCTGCGTTAGCCGTGGTATCCCTCTCCGTTCGTGCTCGAGATTCGCTGTACTACCGTTGCCTGGTACCGTCTAGCATGGAATTGAGATTATGCTGTACTCTTGTGCTGCTATGCTCCTCTCTCCGTGGCTGGAGATTTCTGCTGTACGTGCTGTACCTCTCCTCCATGGCTCGGAAGGATTATTGCTGTAATCAGTCACGTCCGTTGCTGTACTCTCGCGGATGCGCTGTATTCTGCCTGTACGCTCCGTGCTGTACCTCTACATCTGGCCTGAGATTTATGCTGTTACGTCTGTAACTCTCCGTGGTCCCGAGATTCTCTGCTGTTACCTCCCGTGCCTGTACCTCTCTCTCCATGGCTAGAGATTCTGCTTGTCGCTTCGGCTGTACCTCTCCATTGGCTGAGAATTCTGCTGTACCCCGTGATGACTCTTCCATGGTGAGATTTCTGCTGTAACCGTGCTGTAGCCTCTCCATGGCTGACGATTCCTGCTGTACCGTGCTGTCCTCTCCATTGGCTGAGATTCTCTGCTGTAGCTCTGTGCTGTATGCTCCTCTGCGTGGTCGTCGGCGTTTCATGTCTCTACCATCGTGTCTGTCGGCTACTGCTCTGCCGATGGCTGAGATTCTGCTGGTGTAGTTGGCTGTTACTCTCCATGTGACCGGGATCCATGCTGCACCGCTGTGTATCTCCCCACGTGACTAGCTCTTTAAAACTTGGACGGGACGAACCAGTCGATAAGCTCAGCCATTCATTACAGATACCAATTTATCGATAATAAAAGTTACCCCTGGAGTGCGTCGGAAGAAAACGGGGATTTGATAAGCAGCCCATTTTTTTTAACGTCATTTTCGTATGTTATTACTATGGTAATTATTATGAGGAATGGAGAGGCGAGGAGGAGGAGGAGGAGGAGGAGGATGTCGGGGAACATCTGGTCAGCCGTCGCAGTCGGTTCGAACCGGCGCTGGGGTGAGGATGCGTGTGGAGGATCTCTCTCTCTCTATTCTATCTATCTGTCTGTCTCTCTCTCTATCTCTGTCTGTCTCTCTCTCTCTATCGCTGTCTCTGTTTATCTCTCTCTGTCTCTGTCTCTATCTCTCTCTCTCTCTTATCCTCTTTCTCTCTCTCTCTCTCTCTCTCTCTCTCTCTCTCTCTCTCTCCCTCTCTCTCTCTCTCTCTTCTCTCTCCATTCTCTCTCTCATTTGCCACAGATTGTGTCTACATGTGTCTAGTGTGTGTGCGTGCGTGGTGCGTGCGTGTGTGTATCTGTGTGTATGAGAAGAGAAGAGAAAGAGGAAATGGCGATAGGGATATTAAGCCAGCCTCTACAACAAAAGGCTTCGATGTCCTCACCATCTTCGGTTGACAATGTTGACTCTGATCTCGGACTTCAATCCTATGTGAGACTCTTCGAAGGTCCTTAATTAATCACGAGTCGGTTATGATAAGGATCCCACGATGTTGAATTCGTGGCTTGGATATATCGTGGACTCTCTCTTTGGTATAAGATATATCATATGATGTTGAATTCGTGGCTTAGATATATCTTGGACTCTCTTTTGGGATAAGATAATCATATGATGTTGAATTCGTGGCTGTGATATATCGTGGACTCTCTCTTTGATATAAGATATATCAATGTGATGTTGAATTCGTGGCTTAGATATATTCGTGGACTCCTCTTTGGTATAAGATATATCATAAGTGATGCTGAATTCGTGGCTGAGATTAATCTCGGACTCTCTCTTTGGTATAAGATATATCATATGATGTTGAATTCGTGGCTTAGATATATCTTGGACTCTCTCTTTGGTATAAGATATATCATATGATGTTGAATTCGTGGCTTAGATATATCGTGGACTCTCTCTTTGGTATAAGATATATCATATGATGTTGAATTCGTGGCTGTGATATATCGTGGACTCTCTCTTTGGTAAAAGATATAATTTGATGTTGAATTCGTGGCTGTGATATATCGTGGACTCTCTCTGGTATAGATATATCATATGATGTTGAATTCGTGGCTGTGATATATCGTGGACTCTCTCTTGGTATAGATATATCTTGGTATAAGATATATTATATGATGTTGAATTCGTGGGCTGAGATATATCGTGGACTCTCTCTTTGGTATATATATGATGTTTGAATTCGTTCGGCTTAGATATATTCGTGACTCTCTCTTTGGTATAAGATATATCATGATGATGTTGAATTCGTGGCTGTGATATATCGTGGACTCTCTCTTTGGTATAAGATATAAGATATATCTTGGTATATGACGATATATCATATGATGTTGAATTTGATATATGTCTGGACTCTCTCTTTGGTATAAGATATATTCATATGATGTTGAATTCGTGGCTGAGATATATCGTGGACTCTCTCTTTGGTATTCAATATATCTTGGTATAAGAATATATCATATGATGTTGAATTCGTGGCTG